CGCTAGCCAGCTTCTGCCTCTCGGCCACCCGTCCTCTCTCGCCCAAGCTGCCTAGGAGGCGCGCCTCTGCCGCCTTCTTGCCGCGCTTGCTCCAGCCTTGCCCAGTCCTGCGGCCTTACAGGGCCGAACCTCACCCTGCTCTGCGGAAGGGAGGCCTCCACCTTCCTCCACGCCTTCCTCCCTGACCGGCACCATGCACCGCGTTGCCGTTTCCAGCATCGACGATCTATTCCCCAGTGCTCTGACACCAGCTGAATTAGTGCGAACCTACTCGTTAAGGGATTAGCCCAGAGAGACTGCCCTCCCTTCACCAGCCACAAGCGGGGTGCCCAGAATGTCCACATTTCTACCCTGCCCACTAGAAACTGAGGGATTGCCACAGCTCCCCTGAGGTTCATCAATTCCCTGGGACGACACAGCACTCAGGGAGACACTTTACTATTAGAAGATTATTGTAAAGCACACAACTCGGGGACAGCCAAGTGGAAGAGATGCGCGGCACGGGGGTTGAAGGGCGGGAGTGCAGCCCTCCCAGCACCTCTGTGTGCCCACCTGCCTGGAAGCTCTCTGCACCCTGTTTAAGGGGTTTGTATCCAGGTTTCATTATGTCATTGGCCATTGGTGATTGAATTCAACCTCCAGCCCCTTTCCCTTCCCGCAAGGGGAGTAGGGATGTGTTGGGACTGAAAGCTACAACCCTCTGATCACATGGTGTGTTGCACCAGCCCCACCCTGAATCCATCCTAGAGCCCACAAATAGCCATCTCATTAGCATAAACTGTGATTTGATTAAGGAACTCATGAATAACAAAAACACTCCTATCGTCTAGGAAATTCCAAGAGGTTTAGGAGTGCTGTGTCAGGAACTGGGGACAAAGACCGAATAGATTTTTTACACCAAACTCCCTAAACCAATAACCCAGTCTAACCGTGAGAAAAACATCAGACAAATCCCAGCAGAGGGGCCATTGTACGAAATAGGGAGCCAACCTAAACTCGGCCAAGGTTGTGAATGTTGTCAGAATCAAAATGGTGGAGTCATTTGTGTTAAAAGAGAGAGGGGAAAAAATGACAAATAGAGCTGGGGAAAGCCATGAAGAGGATTCTTCGTAAATGCCTGATGTCACAAATGCTCGTGAAAGACCAACACCGTCCACAGAGGCCATGTCAGCCTTCCCAAAAGAAGACTTCTGCCAGTACATCTGCCCAGCAATAGCCTGTCCACCCTCAGACAGGTATCACCCTGATGGATACTTGTTGCTGAGGCTAATGATCAAAAACAATATGTAGTCCTCCTCATTTTTTCTTTAAAAACCTTTGTCTTCCTTTACCTCCCTGAATACACACATAGCTTAATATGGCCCACATGGTCCCATTGCAACGCCCTGTTCCCAAGTATCATTTTCTTTTAGAGAACCTCTCTGTTTGTTATGGAGGTTGGCAAGGTCACCAAAACCAAAGAGAGTGTGAGGAACTGCCCCAGCCAAGAGTCATCTAAGGAGACATGATGGTTAAATATAAGTGGTGTGCTCAATGGGACCCTGGAACAGAAAAAGGACATTGGGAGAAAATGGAGGAAATTTAAATAATATACCAATAATATCAATAATATAATGTACCAATGTTGGTGTATTAATTGTTAACAAATGTGCCATACTAATGAAAGATACAAATATGAGGAAACTGGTTTATGGGAACTCTCTGCACTATCTTGCAAATTATCTGTAAATCTAAAACTACTCTAAAAATAATGCTTTAAAAAAAAATTAGGGCCCAGTGTCATGGGCACACCTGTAATCCCAGCACTTTGGGAGGCCAAGGTAGGAGGATCACTTGGGCCCAAGAGTTTCAGGACCAGCCTGGCTAACACAGCGAGACCCCATCTCTTAAAAAATAAATAAATAAATAAATAGCCAGGCATGGCAGTGTGCGCCTGTAGTCCCAGCTACGCGGGAGGCTGAGTGAGGAGGATCTCTCGAGCCTAGGAGGTCAAGGCTGCAGTGAGTCGTGATGACGCCACTGCACTCCTGCCTGGGCAACAAAGCAAGACCCTGTCTCAGAAAAGACAAGAATCATAAATAAATAAACAAGTAAACTAGAAATAAGCCAGATGTGGTGATGCATGCCTATAATCAGTTATTCGGGAGGCTGTGGTGGGAGGATAGCTTGAGCCCAGGAGTTCAAGACCAGCCTAAGCAACATGGCAAGACTCCCTCTGAAAATAAAAGGAAAAACAATTACAAAGATTTAAAAGCCCTTCAATTTTGAGGATCCACCTTCTTTAAACGGCAGAGGGAGAAAGGGCGTAAATTGAGTGACATTCACTGGAATTAGGAGATCCAGAGTGGAAATTTCCAGAAATCCTGGTGAGAAGAAAGGAATAGCCATAGCAGGCCCTGAGAATAGAGAGCTTCCCAGCCAGATCAGATCCATCCCATCCTTCTCCCACCTCCACTCCCCCTCCCCTGGCACCAAGGGGGTCCCCAGAGGGAGCAGAAACCTTCAAACACTCCCCTTCCTGCAGACAGGCAGCCCCAGCCCTGACCACAGCTGGCTGGACTTGGAATGAAGCTTGAAGGACTGATAAATACCTAGGACTGGACACACTAGTTTCTGAATTGAGAAGAAGTTTGTGATTTAAAGTGATCTTGGCCGGGTGCAAATGGCTCACACCTGTAATCCCTGCCCTTTGAGAGGCTTAGGCGGGCAGATCACCTAAGATCGGGAGATTGAGACCAACCTGGCCAACACAGCGAACCCCCATCTCTACTAAAAATACAAAAATTAGCCGGGCATGGGGGCGTGCACCTGTAATCCCAGTTACTCAGGAGGCTGAGACAGGAGAATCACTTGGGCCCAGGAGGTGGAGGTTGCAGTGAGCCAAGATTTCACCACTGCACTCCTGCCTGGGCCATGGAGCAAGACTCATCTCAAAACAAACAAACAAATAAAGTGACTTTAAGATTGTCCCCAACCTAACATGAGCAGAAAAGTTTTGGGTCTGTGTTATGAGTTCAATTGTACCCTCCTGAAAAAGCTACGTTAAAGTCCTAAAGGCTCGCATACTTGAGAATATGACCTCCTTTGGAAACAAGATCGTTGCAGATATAATTAGTTAAGATGAGGTCACACTCACCTAATATGCCTGGCATCTTTATAATCAAATGGATATGTGGCGACAGAGACACTGGGAGAATGCCATGTGACGACAAAGGCAGAGAATGGCCTGATGCTGCAAACCACTGAAGCGAGGAAGAAGCGAGGAAGAAGCGAGGAAGAAGAGAGGAAGAAGCGAGGAAGAAGAGAGGAAGAAGCGAGGAAGAAGAGAGGAAGAAGAGAGGAAGAAGTGAGGAAGACCTGAGGAAGGATCCCCCACAGGTTTCAGAGGGAGCACAGCCCTGCTGCCACCTCGATTTTGAACTTCTAGGCTGGAGAATTGCGAGACAAAATTCTGTTGCTTTAAGCCACCCTATTTGTAGTACTTTGTTGCAGAGGCCCTGGGAGTCTAATTCATCTCTATTAGCGTTTTCATGGGGGCAAGTGAAGATACTCTCTACTGGATACATTTTAGAGATGATAGAAGATAAAGCTGTGTTTGTCAGGCCCTGTGACTTACAGGTACAATGCACCAGTTACTCAACTGTCCTGTGATCTAAATCTCTTTAAGGGACCAAGGAAGCTTACCAGGCCCCTGGTAAGGAAACCTAGGCCCATAGGTGGTACCAAAACAAAAGGGACCCCGCACAGTGGTGAAAACCTCCAGCACACCTTCTGGGAACTTGCCCTGCAGATACGGTCATCTGTGTGCAAAATGGTGTATGTGTGTACAAGGTTATTCACTGAGGCCTTGTTTGCAATAACAGAAGGTTGGAAACCACTACACATCCAATAGGTATGGAAGGCAAATAAGTATTTGTACTCCATGCACTGGAAGACTGTGCAGCTTGGCCGGGCATGATGGCTCACGCCTGTAATCCAAGCACTTTGGGAGGCCAAGGCGGGTGGATCACAAAGTCAGGAGTTCGAGACCAGCCTGACCAACATGGTGAAACCCCCATCTCTACTAAAAATACAAAAAATTAGGCAGGCTGGTGGTGCGCGCCTGCAATCTCAGCTACGCGAGAGACTGAGGCAGGAGAATCGCTTGAACCCGGGAGGCGGAGGTTGCAGTGAGCCGAGATCGCACCACTGCACTCCAGCCTGGGCGACAGAGCGAGATTGCGTCTCAAAAAAAAAAAGACCGTGCAGCTCTTAAAAACTGAGAGGAAGCGAAGCCCGGTAAGACTGCGGCGGCGCAGCGCGTGCATTGTTGCGGATCCGGGACGGTGGCCCGGGGGCGTCTTGGTCTTCCTCACCGCTGCGAAATCGCGTCACCTACAGCTACTGGCGGGTTCAGGAGGTGCTGAAGCACGCCAAGCACTTCCGGCGGAGGAGGGGGTGAGGGGGAAATTGCTGCTACAGGTTGGCGGTCAGAGCCGGGACTCGAGCCTTTGTGAAATGCACCAAAGCCCGAAACCTGAAGAAGAGGATCACGAGGACCCTCTGGATTAATCGAATTACAGCTGCTACCCAGTCACATGGCCCGACGTATCCAGCGTTCACTGGCAATTTAATTAAGTGCCAGGTGGAGTGCCACAGGAAAGTCCTAGCGGATCTAGCCATTTACGAACCAAAGACTTCTAAATCTTCGACTGCCTTGGCCAATAGGAGGCGACAGGAAGAATTTGCTGCTGCCTTAGGGGATGGGAAGGAGCCCGAAGGCATTTTTTTCCGGAATGGTGCAGTACCGCTGAGGACCGTTGCTGTATTGATTATGAAAAGACACAGAGTAATTTGCAAATTATTTGATTTGTACTTGTGTTTATCCACAATTCCAGTAACAGGCATGAGGGAAGCCCCCTTCTTTCTGGGACAGAGCCTCACAGATGACTTCTGTGTTTCGTGTGAATGAAACTCAAACATTGTTCAAAAAAAAAAAAAAAAAAAATTGGGAGGAAGCAAGAAAGAAAAAGAGTAAGGGAGCTCTTTGTATACTAACAGAGAAATAGAAATATCTGGAATACAGTAACCTGCCTTTTGTGTAAAAGGCAGGGAGGCTGATAAGAAAATAATATAACTGTATTTCGGCCGAGTGGGGTGGCTCACACCTGTAATCCCAGCACTTTGGGAAGCCAAGGCAGTCAGATCATCTGAGGTCAGGAGTTCCAGACCAGATTGGCCAACGTGGTGAAACCCGTCTCTACTAAAACTACAAAAATTAGACAAGTCTGGTGGTGCATGCCTGTAATCCCAGCTACTCAGGAGGCTGAGACAGGAGGATCGCTTAAACCTGGGAGGCGGAGGTTGCAGTGAGCTGAAATCGTGCCACTACATTCCAGCCTGGGCAACAAGAATGAAACTTTGTCTCCAGGGGAAAAAAAAAAAAAAAAAGGAAGTATTGTATTTAGCCAGGTGTGGTAGCATCTTCCTATATAGTCTCAGCTGCTTGGGAGGCCAAGGCAGGAAGATCACCTGAGCCCAAGAGTTCTAGTCCAGCCTGGGCAACATAGTAAGCCCCCCATCACTACAAAAAGAAAAAGAAAATCTAACTGTATTTGCTTATATTTGCATAAAGGACCCTACAGCATGCACTAGAAGCTTTTAAGAGTGAGGGGACATGGGGGAATGGAATGGTGGCAGCAGGGAAGGGGACTTTTCACATATCACTTTTTATGCTGTTCTATTTTTGAACCATGTTAACGCATGATCTACTAATAAAATGAAATTAAAAGTAAGGAGAATGTCCAGAGAGCAGATTTCCTATAATGAGGGGCACTTTGGATTTACTGATTAACAAGCGACTGTGGAAATCCTAGAATGCTAAACTAAGAGGTTAAGAGTTGATTTGGGGATCATTGGATGTTTTGAGCCAGGAAGTAGCGTCAGGAAGAATCATCTAAAGGGAGTGTATAGTCTAGATCAGAAGGAGGAGAGACCCAAATGGGAAGGCTGTGGCCCTATTCAGGTGTGAAATGATGAGGCAAGGAACAATGATGGCAGTGAGCTGGAAATAGAGGTTTTCAAGAAAAATCTACACACCAAAAAAGACCAGCTGGCCAGGCGCGGTGGCTCACACCTGTAATCCCAGCACTTTGCGGGGGTCAAGGTGAGTGGATTACTTGAGGTCAAGGATTCAAGCCAGCCTGGCCAACATAGTGAAACCCGGTCTCTACTAAAAATACAAAAATTAGCCAAGTATGGTGGCGCACGCCTGTAATCCCAGCTACTCAGGAAGCAGAGGCAGGAGAATCACTTGAACCAGGAAGGTGGAGGTTGCAGTGAGTCGAGATCGCACCACTGCACTCCAGTCTGGGCAACAGAGCAAGACTCCATCTCAAAACAAAAACAAAAACAAACAGCTGAACTTCTTACATATCAAGTGCATGCTGCTTGAAATAAATGGGTCACAGAAGAAATTTTTGTCACATAGGTGTGTCTACTTGCTTTTGGCATATAAAATATTGTGAAGGCTGCTTACATTTTAGACCTTTATATTGATCTGGATTTGGAATTTACAATGACATCATAATGTATATTTCAGCTTCCCAGACAATAGACTGGCTAGTTTGATTTTCTCTTCTATGTCCTTATGCTTAGGCACACCATTTTAGAGTTGTTTGCTAAACTTACCAATTTCTTTTTTCTTTTTTTTTTTTTTTTTTTTGGAGATGGAGTTTCACTCTTGTTGCCCAGGTTGGAGTGCAATGGCGCAATCTCGGTTCAAGGCAACCTCTGCCTCCCGAGTTCAAGCGATTCTCCTATCTCAGCCTCACAAGTAGTTGGGATTACAAGTGTGCACCACTACACACAGCTAATTTTGTATTTTTAGTAGAGATGGGTTTCTCCATGTTGGTCAGGCTGGTCTCAAACCCCCGACCTCAGGTGATCCGCCCACCTCGGCCTCCCAAAGTGCTGGGATTCCAGGAGTGAGTCACCCCACCCCCCACCCGATAGCTTACCAAATCTAATGCTACTTTCTGTTCAGTTTGGTGAAAACCTTTGGCTCTGTCTATGGTAAATATTCCAACTTATACTCATAAAAACATCCATCCATGCCCCCTGTCTATTTTTTTTTTTTTTTTTTTTTGAGACAGAGTCTTGCTCTGTCGCCCAGGTTGGAGTGCAGTGGCACGATCTCCGCTCACTGCAAGCTCCGCCTCCCGGGTTCACGCCGAGCCTCCCAAGTAGCTGGGACTACAGGTGCCCGCCACGGTGAGCCAAGATGGCACCACTACACTCCAGCCTGGGCAACAGAGTGAGACTCTTTCTAAAACAAACAAACACCTAAATATAGAATTTTCAGCTGGATGCAGCGTACTCCAGAATAACCACTATACTTCCCAGCCTCCCTTGCTATTCAGTGTGGCCTTGTGACAAGTTCATAATAGGATGTGAGCAAAAGTGAGGTGTTGGATGTTTAGCTCTTATCCTGAAAGGGAGGGTGCTATGTACTCACTGTGGTTTGAATGTCTCCCCCAAATTTGGAAACTTAATTGTCTTCTTTTTTTTTTTTTTTTTTTTTTTTTT